CCGTGCTGAACAGTCAATAGGCGTGTCGGAGGGGTGGGGGGAGAAGGGGTGGAGTTGGCACGGCGACAGCCCGTTCGCTTTCGTTTTTTTTTCTCTCGGCAGATGACAAAACTGTATAATATTGTTCATATAATTTGTTTCCACCACTTGGTGAACGCTTACCCACTTCAGCAGCTGATGGTGCAGGCTGGCGGCGCGCCAAACCCACCCTCGCTGACATGCCTCATCACGCAGTGAACAGGACTGTATAAATCTCGGCCGCTTTCGGGCAGCAATCCACTCCTACTCTTCCTGACACTCCCCATAAATGCGCCATGCTATGGGCTGTGTCTTTGATTACGGTATTGTGCAATTTTTTTGGAGGTGGCCCAGAATTCATGGAATTCGTGAGATCTGTAGATGAATCTAGGTTTTTTTTCGGCAAAGTTACACCTATCTTACGAGATCTGATCGGTCATCTCGTTGCGTTTTTTTCTATTTTTTTACGAAGGTTTCCCATTTCGAACTTTCCACGCATGGGGTCAGCGCCATGTGAGCCAGCTCCGAACCTGGAGCTTTCGCCGAGATTAATGATTGAAGGGTTTCATGAATCAAGTAATTATGTGGAAACGGAGTGCCCATTGGAAAGATGAAACGCGGATTAGTTGAGGATCGTAAATGGCTCCAATCATCAAACGGGAGGGACGCGGTCTCGATTAGCCGAGATTCTATCAGGGATTAGATTCTAGGAATGATTTCTTTCGGTAAGGGAAAAAGAAACACCGAACTAGCTCGAATTGGGTTATGTTCAATTGCGGTTATGCGCTGCGCTCCGCCTTGTTTTTTTATTCCGAGGGTTGATTTCGACAAATCCCGTGTGTACCACTTCTGTGGAGCATTTTTTCAGTAAAATCACATTATTCGCATGATACCATTATTCGCACTATACTTAGGTAACAGCAAATACCCAAGGAATCCTAGAAGGCTCCGTTCGGCTTAGTTGGGCCATCGATTAACTTACAACTACTACTGTAAGCTTGTAATGATACAGATCACCTCGGTAAGACCTGTAAATTCCTGGGAACAATGCGGCTCACTGGTACCATGATGCAGCGATCACAAGGACGCCTTAACTGTGTGAAACCGACAGTAAATATGGACAACAAGAAGACCAGCAAAAACGGCACAAAATTCCCTCGCAAGCTGCCCTGCGAGTCGACAGTGCCTTCCAGGATTCATGGTGTTTCGGTTACCTTACAGGTTGCCGGAAAAGGGCTAACAGCTACTATGAGGCTTCGGTGATAATCACCCTATACAACCCCCTTTTGCTGTTTTGTCACGAGATTCACTTGAAGTTCGTGATGGTCAATTCCGCTGGCCTGGCAGTCTTACCAGATGGGTGCTATATCTCGGCGTTCAGCGACTGTAATGTCACCTAGGCTGAACCTTTCCAAGCAGCACTCTGAATTTCGAATTAATGTCCTAGGGCACGTCCTACTGTTTGCGAGAGAGGATCAAGAAATTGTTCCTCAGCGGCAGGAAAAGACGCCTGCCGGAGTGACATCACAGATAAATAGGGTCACTGCTTATATAGATTTAGAGAACTCTTCGCTCACGAATGTTACCTTTATACCAAAATTTTCTGACCCGCTATTGTTCTTCTTTCATCGCTGCCAGGAATCCTTCTGCATGTCTTTCTAATATGTATATAGGACTTAAAAGTACTCCTCCCCTCCTCCAACTTGCACAGTTGGCTGCCTTCTCGCCGCTACAAAAGAACGTGACGTTCTATTTTTGTTTATTGATTCCTTGTTATGGGTGACGTGCAGTAAATTTGATAGTACACAGTTACCCATCAGTTTCCTTCTGTAAACAAGAACATAACAATTTCCGAATCACGTAATTTTACGTTGCAATGCTCTTTATAGGTCTGTTTGTAGGTGAACCTGTAAGGGAAGAGCTCTACCACACAATAGTTGCTGCCTTCAACTACTTGTAGTGGTTGCAAAAGTGGGAACAACATCACTGCAGAAATTTGCCGATTTCTGGCTGACAGTTTGTAAATCTGGCCTGACATTTCTGGTCCTTGTGAGCATAAATTCGTGTAGGCGAATCGAAGGGGTTATAATTTGAATGACAGTTACTGTCTTACAAGCCTCCGCAGAGGTGTTTCTCTGCGTGCCAGATGAAAGTTGGCCCACTATAACAACCTATTAGACTCAAAGTGCAGTCTTCTGATCGGCACTGATCCCACTCTGCATCGGAACTCACTCTGCTTTTGTGACGCTTCAGTCGATATCTTGGAAATAGGGAGGGTGTAGCTGCGTACTCAGGTTAACGGTGCGGCTATGCGTCGGTTGGGATTCCTCCCCTTTCCCTGTTGCAACGAACATTTCGCCTTGTGCTAATCAAATACCGTGTCAAGCTGAAGTACGTAGAGTGGCCCCTCCAATCCCAGCATATGAAGAGAGAAAGAATACTTCTCCCGACTTGAATGCATGCAGAGTATAGGTGCAACGTCATCAAAGGTCCAGTCAATTAGTGTCGAATGGTGATCAGAGTATCTTTAGGCCACGTTCGAGCATCACGAGCCTAAATAACGAGTCCTCTACTGACGGGTTACAGCTCGAACTACAGTCCACATTTCACTGGCAGTCCCCGTATTTCAAAGAAGACTGTCATTTATCAAGAAATTTTCGTTATTTTGTCTATTTCTTGATAATGAATGATGTGGCAGATTCCTAGAAATCTACTCAGCTTAAGGGCACTTTCGCGAGTTCT